TGATTATTAGAGAACTATTATTTTGAGGGCGACGTCACGAGCTCAGATTTGGTTGATTAATCATAGGAATTGGGGCATTCAGCACCACATACATGTGTGTATAATGATTTTTTAAGTCGTTTATCTGTTTTTCTACCCTAAACCAAAATACGAAAATCGAGACAAAATCTTGTTGTTGTTTTTTGTAAGCCGTTTTCTTAGTTTTTCTTTTTATGTTTAAAAAAAGGATATGGAATGAACGGAAAATACCGTGACTGTCAAAAACAGCCACTAACATACTGATAGGGTGGTCAACTTGAACTTAAAGAAACAAATGCAGTGAGGTGATGTCATGGTGTAAACCAATTCAGAAATAATCTGACTACAACCACACAAAATATATACATTTAAATATTTTCTACAGCCCTTATGGTTTAAAAGTTATTAAAATAAACATATTGTGCAAATCTACCCAGTTGGTGGCGCTACAGGGTTTGGGTCAGCAACTTCAAATTTGCTGCGTTTAATTTTAAGACTCTTCTCTATCTGTACGCTAAATTTCATAACTCTCCGCCAAATTTTTCAATGGGCTGCTACAGTAGAAAAAGCAGTCATTTTTCTGTCGACATACCAAACGCATAAAAACTCACAGGACAACAGTGCTCCAATTGTATATTTCAGCTGTATTTACTGATATGATTCACTACACGGAACAACAAACATTGTTAAATACTGGTATGGAAACTGCTCACGCTTTACAATCATACTCAGCAACAGAAGGGGAGAGAATTCAGAAAAAGAAAATGAACCAAAAATAGTTGAAAAAGTCATGTGTATCAATAAATTAAAAACATAGCACTGGCAATAAATAACATGACCCACTGTATAGCTTGACTTAAGGCATACTCTACTTCAGTGTAGTAACAGAGAGTGTTGAACCAAAGCAGAGACACAAAGGGATTACAGACATCTTCATTCATCACTTCATCACGTCAGTCTTATGGCACGTCAATATATATGTACCATGACAGCTTAAAATGGCAGACAAGGGGCTTTTTATCCCATTTTTTATGGTGAGCTCACAGAACAGGCATTTTGCAGGTTATATTGCTACGCTAAGGGCTAAACCATAATGGCAATTATTTTCCCTCAAATAAAATAAACAATGGCATCGGTAAACTGCGTAACACTAGCAAAGTATAATGAATAGACCTTGACATGGCAGCGTAGTATAAAACATTTGCCTGCACATTAATAAAGTAATACAGCAAGATTTTGGAGATATGCGTTGTGTTTTGTATCGACGAATAAAGAGTAAAAATCTAATGTTTTGAAAGAGTATAAGTGATATGCCAGCCTGATCTCACGATGAAAACATAACTATTTTACGCTTAGTCCGTTTAGTGGCTAACTCGTACTAATTCGTACGAGTTCAGTCATATAAAATTTGTATGATTTTAAAAAGGAGGTGTGGCACCAAACCCCACCCTAAACCCAAGCATCATTGGGGGATAAGCAAGTCGTACAGAATTGTATGAATGAGATTGTACAGTTTCATACGAATTAGCTACTAAAAGTTACGAATTGCCGTGAGAGTGTGTTGGATATGCTGATCAACAATGTTGAATATTTTAAAAGCTTGAATTTGATTCCACACATTTGTCCCAAAAATTTGGGGCAAAATTTTTTTTAAATGTTTTCAAATTTCTTCTATGGTAACCAAGGTGGATTTTATAGGTTCGAAAATAAATTAAATTAAATTAAATTAAAATGATCTAGTTTTGTGTATAGTGTTGTATAAGTTAAAAACGGTAATATTGTGAAATATTATTATATTTTAGACAAGTAAGGTTATTTAAATGTCTGATATGGTAATCAAGGCTGATTTTATTGGATCGAAAATACACAAAAAAGCTACTATTTAAAATGATCTAGTTTTGTATATTCTGTAGTATAAATAAAAACAGTAATATGGTGAAATATTATTAAAGTTTAGACATTTAAAGTTGTTTAAATGTCTCACATGGTAGCCCAGGCAGATTTTATTGGATCAAAATTTGTAAAAATGCAAATATTTAAAAAGATATTCTGTATATTGCGTTGTAAATTTAAAAACGGTAATATTGTGGAATTTGCAGATTTAAAGTTATTTAAATGTCATGTGATTCTATTTACTTTTATCTAAAAGTAAAGTCGTTTTCATGAAGGAAATTTTATAAAAGAGTCCAATTGAACCAAACTGATTCAAATAATTGAAGGAAAAATGGTTCTATGGTTCTATTAAGAGCACAAACCTGAGTGCTAATTTGGACTGATGATGGCACTAGATGTATTTAGTTATAGACAATAAAAATGCTGTGTTCAATGTTCAGACTGTTCTCTATCTCTCTGCCAAATTTCATATATTTAAACCATCCAGCCCTATGGTATGGTGGCCCCCAAGACTCATTTCCCCTTCTTCAAATTGTTTAGTTTTTCTTCACTACATACTCAAGTCTTGCAGGATTAGAAACTTTAAATACGAAAAGCATTAAAAAAATAATAATAATAAATCATTTGTCACATTCTAAAAGTTTTCCCTCAGTTTTATTCATCATGATGCTGAATAAGAACCCTAAATGTATGTAATATAGTGTACAAAACGTGAAATATTAGATTATTATACCACTGTATTGTGATTTGCATTTAGACATTCTCGTACTTTACTATTGTATGGCGCTCTATGCATTTAATAATGGCTGACAATGGTTGCTACGCACATTGAAGACAATAAGGTGCTCTTGAAGTTTTACAAAAACAACATTCGACAAACAGAAAAAGGAACGGTACGATCTTTAAATGAGTTTAAGGATGAATAACAGATGTTATATTAGGCATTGACTCAAAGAGCTGAGATTAATTTAGATTTTTGTTTAAAAAAAGGCATCAAACTGTAGCAATACAGCAAACACAGACTATCCTGTTCTTCAACATCTCACAAAATGCTACTGCACTTAAAAGACGAGAGCATTAAGAGTAAAACTGATTTCTGTCGTCATTTAGAGTGCTGGAAATAGAGTTTTTACACCGCATTTTATGCATTTTGGCACAAATTGGATGATCACAATCTATAGCCTTGTTATCTTGTTATTGATGTCAATGATATATCCGGCAGCTGTTATTAGAGCAGTGGTGAAAAACAGAGAAATCAATTCTGTATCGATTCTAAGATTTTCAACATGTCACTGTTTTTCCTTGAATTGATTCTGAGCTCAGTCTTTAACAGCAGATGGCGCTCTATGCTTTACTAACAGCCGTACTCGGCTTGCCTCCAATTCTCTACAAATACACATTGAAGCTAAAATAATCAGCAATAAAGTTAGGAAAGTACCAGAAATTTACAAGAGTGCTAATAGTGAACTGTGACAAATCGTAACTTGCAGAAAGCACAAGCGCTCTTCATTGTAATTGTTTGAGTCTATGATTAAAAAAGTAGCCCAGAGCGCCATCTGCTGTTTCAATTGTGACTGCCGATGCTTTTTTTTTTTTTTTTTCATCAGAATTTTGGAGCAATTCGAGCTCTAGCTGCTATCATATTCAAGTAAATCAAAGAAAACTTCGTTCTCCTGCCAACACATTGCAACTTCTCTCAAAACAACTCACAATAATTAAATGTGAAGAAGACTGTACCGAATAATCCTCAATGTATTGTGTAGAGTTACATTTCTATACTCATAAAATTATTTTAGCTGCTTGTTCAAGCTACTTATCTAAAATGAGCTGAATCAACACAATTCCTGAGTTGTTTTTTGACAACTTAATTGTTTTATGTTCAATCTACTTACATTTGTAAAAACATTTAAGTTTACTTAAATAATGTGTTGGGGCAACATGAAGGAATTGTGTGGAACCCAGCATTTTTAACACTGTACACTGTAAAAAAAACAAGGTTCCACACAAATTTATTCATGTTGTCCCAACACAAACCAATTAAGCTAATTTAAGAAATTTAAGTGGATTCAACATGAACCAATTAAGTTGTTCCAAATAAATCTCAACGTGTCCTTTTAAAGTTAATTTAAAATAAGTAGTTTGAACAAGCAGAATTTAGTTTTTTTAAGTGTAGCGTATTCTCTTGAACTGATTTCAATTCCATTAGTGCAGTTGAACTGTGTTGGCTTTATGTGCAGCAACACTCAAATATAGTCTGAATTAACAATTACATCCTGTCACTATCATTGCAGACCAGTGTCCTCAGCACGGGTATCTCAAATAAAAGTGCTCATATTACAACCTAGACTCAATGGAAAGTGTACCTCAGCCTTCATTTTTGCAAAATTTAAAATATTTTGCTCTGGGTATGTTTCATTGCACGTTTAAGGTGGCAAATCAACTAGAGGGCGCCATCTACATTTTTGCAAATTTGAATTACGTTAGGGGCGGCACACTGGCTCATCGATGGGCATTGTCGTCTCACAGCAAGAAGGTTACCAGTTTGAGTTCCGGCTGGGCCAGTTGACATTTCTGTGTGGAGTTTGCATGTTCTCCCAAGGTTCGTGTGGGTTTTCTCCGGGTGCTCCGGTTTCCCCCACAAATCCAATGACATGACATTCACCTATAAACAAAATTGGCTGTAGTGTATGAGTGTGAATGTTAGAGTGTATGGATGTTTACATTGGTGTGGCTGGAAGGGCATCCGCTGCATATGCTGGAATAGTTCGCAGTTCATTCCACAATGGCAACCCCTAATATATAATGGAATTAGCCAAAGCAACATGAATGAATGAATAAATGAAATATGTTATTTAGGGTAGGCTTTACTGTATATTTCAGATACACATTCTTCTTTTACATGTCAACAGGACAGCAGGGCTTGTGCAGATCACTAGACTAGCATATCACTGACCCAACCAATAGTGTTTTCAAAAGCAAACGTAAGAGAAAAATTGCACTGCGACCAGGTAGTTTTACCTTAATTTTACTTTGCTTTCATCTCTTTTGTGGAACTGTTTCACCGAACGCAGACCCAAACGCTTTGCATCACAAGTATATTGTACAACGTGAGCTACCGAAGAAACGTTTTTGACGGCAAATCATAAGACACCGTTAAGTTGATTTGTGGTATTTATTTGATATATTTAAATAATCATTAGTGTGAAATGGAACAGAAGTTTTAAATTGATTTTACCTAGTTTCACAAAAAATGTAGGCCGCCGCAGATATTTTCAATGAGCCTGTGTTGCCATATTTTGCTTTCAAAATATGTGTTCAATGTAATAATTTGTGAGGGTAAACAAAAAAGTGCATGATATATGAAGTTATTGTCTTTCAAAAGAGCCAACAAGTCTGAACTGCATAAAATGAGTCTTCAGTAACTCCAGTCTGACTTGCAGTACAAACTTAAATAGGTTTTGTAACAAATGTCCATAAAGCCAGCCTATTATCTTCACTTGCAAACAATGTCTAATTTGAAATCAAATGCTGTATTTGTAGATGAGACCTGGAGTAGTTTGGTGTTGAGTTGTCGATTTTGTTCACTGTGCCTTGAAAGCAAATCTACTCTGCATGGAAAAGGACGAGGGCTTGAAGTGATATAGTGGAACTGACTTCATTATGGTTCTCTGTTTACAAAAGCTGAGGAAGCCTCCGGAGCTGATATTCAGATGTGGTAATTTTTAACACTGGACATAAACGGTAGACCAATAACAACAGACTGGGACATTTGACCAATGAAATATAAGAAGAAGTGTTTAGAGATATAAGAACCAACCATTTCAGACACCGTGAGAAAAGATGTAATAGCCATTATGCAAACAATTCAAGTGTTTTTGACAGTGAGTGAACAAAAACCTATTAAAGGAAACCATTTAAAGCTAAATTAGGAACTTTTAAAGGAACAGTTCACCCTGAAAGGAAAATTTATATCATTTACTTACCCTCAAGTGCTTCATTTGTGTTCGGTAAACGGAAGAAACTCAAATAGGTTTGAAATGATGAAAGATAACGTCACAATGTTCATTTTTGGGTGAACTATCCCCTTTTAAAACAGCTCTTTTAAAGTATTCCCTTCATTAGTGTTCGCTACAAAGCTACTGGTAATATATTTAAAATATACATTCTAAAGTTACATAATGTGACTAAGAAATTTGCCTCAACACTCCCTTTTGTTAGAAAACACACACTTCTGTCCTAATATAATCAGAAACCATCAAAAATTAATTTCATAAAGCACAGATGCGCTAAATAGAATCCACTGTTTTCCTACATCACACAATGCTTTGTGTGAATTACAAAAGTAACTTTGATGAAACTGTAAACAATCAGTGAAGTGTTAAAAACCAAAAGAGATTCAACAAGGTCTCATTAGTCTTTCTGCGGCGATATTACAGACGTGTTAAATATTATTTTACCAAATGGAATATGATTGGAAGGAACAGATTTCCTAAAATTACATTAAAATACCAAGCGTAATGCTATTTTCATGATAAATAAAAAAAGTATAAAGGTATCCGTCCCTTTCGTTCAGTTTTCACCATTTTATTATTCGAAGAGATATGATATTGTAAATGCAACCCGTAATTTAAAGGTAAATTAAAGTATTTAAACAAAATGTGAATTTTCTTTCATAATCATATTTTAAAAATTACTTTAAATAAAAATAACACATAAAAAGGGGAACAATTTTAACGATTTAGGGGTCTTTTTCTTACTTCGAACCAAAAAAAACAATGGTACTGAGGAACCTGTAGTGTGAAATGTTCATTTTTTGTTCAGTTTTTGAAATACTCGAGCAGCTGTTTTCTTCTGATGTTGCACCATGCATTTATATACACTTCAATGCTTCTTACATCTATACATACCTAAATCTAGCGCCCTCTGGTGGAAATATAAAGACTAGCGTCCTACCATAGGAGGAACCATTAACTGTTACATATACTTCCCGTTCGTTATTATTTTTTTCCCTATTTGATATTAATTATAATACACTCATTCTACTGTTCTCAAGTTCTTTAGTAGTTAATCTATGCGGAGGGTTCAAGCTGGACTCTCAGGTCAGGACAGGAGGAGGGTTTGGTTACTGAATTTGACAGGCTGTGGAGGAAGTGGCTTGGCAGCACATGCAGGTGGGGTTCACAGATTTGGGGGGAATGAGGTCCAGGTCTTCATCATCCGGTATTTCATCCAACCGGTAGCCGTCCTTCAGAAGCTGGATGTTTAAGTCTTGGTTTATTTGCTGTGGCAAAAGAGAAGGAATAAGCAAATTTGTTAGCTATTTAAGAATATATATTATCATAAAAATAATAATAAGTATCATTAAGTAAATATATATTAATGATAATAAGGTTATAATAATCAAGAGAAATGTCCCTCTCATTGACTTTTCACAACAGATATGAATTATTTCCTAAAATAGAAATAGTAAAAAAAAATATTAGATTTAATTTTTTTAACAACAACAACAATAATAATAATAATAATTATTATTATTATTATTATTATAAATAAATTGTATAAAAAAGACAAAAAAGTTGCATTCTAAAACTAAATGAAATTAGATTAAATTTAGTTAAATAAAAAAGTAATATTATTCAGTAAATATTTTATTATATATTTTAGAAGATAATAATTAGATAACAATAATCAAGATAAATGTCTCTCTCATTCAGTTTTCACGACAGATATGGATTATTTATTAAAATAAAAATAGTTTTTAAAATCATTATATTTTATTATTCTTTTTAATAATAACAACAACAAATATAATAATAATAATAATAAAAATTATTATTATTATTCTGAATAAAATAACAATAATAATAATAATACATATTAGATTATTATTAAATAATGATAATAATAATAATAATTATTATTATTATTATTATAAATATAATAACAACAACAATAATAAATGTTATTATTATCATTGCTGGATGTTATTTTTATATTAAACTTAAATCTTTAAAAAGTATGTTTAGAAAAATGCCAAAAAAAGTTGCATTCTAAAACTAAATGAAATTAGATTAAATTTAGTTAAATAAAAAAGTAATATTATTCAGTAAATATTTTATTATATATTTTAGAAGATAATAATTAGATAACAATAATCAAGATAAATGTCTCTCTCATTCAGTTTTCACGACAGATATGGATTATTTATTAAAATAAAAATAGTTTTTAAAATCATTATATTTTATTATTCTTTTTAATAATAACAACAACAAATATAATAATAATAATAATAAAAATTATTATTATTATTCTGAATAAAATAACAATAATAATAATAATACATATTAGATTATTATTAAATAATGATAATAATAATAATAATTATTATTATTATTATTATAAATATAATAACAACAACAATAATAAATGTTATTATTATCATTGCTGGATGTTATTTTTATATTAAACTTAAATCTTTAAAAAGTATGTTTAGAAAAATGCCAAAAAAAGTTACATTCTAAAATTAAATTAAATTAAATTAAATTAAATTAAATTAAATTAAATTAAATTAAATTAAAAATGTTTTAGGATACTGTTTAAATGCCACTGAATTAGCAGTCATTTAAATACTTATCATAACTCTGTACAGTAGAGACCACGACATGGTAAGGGGTTCGAATAGTTTATTATTTAATGTATATATACCTGTTCCCTCAGACATCTCACCTCGGCTGAAGAATATCCAGATGATGAATATCTGGACATATCGAAGTCATCATCACTGAAAAAACAAGAAATAGCACACAGATCAGCAATAAAACTTCTGAAGAAATCACACTTATAAATGACGGAACATTTTTTACTTCTTTTTTTGTGGCTCAGTTTGATACAGCAAAGAATTATATTAAATACAGTCCCCAATTTCCAAAATATTTTTTTATATGTGATCTCCTATAACATTTCCAGTAATATTAGATAGATTTGATATAAAGATCTATTTAGTCAAAATAAAGCAAGAGAAAGAGAGAGAGAGAGAGAGAGAGAGAGAGAGAGAGAGAGAGAGGAACATTTTAGCTAGAAAAAAAAGTGATAACAGTGATAATCATATCTTTCTGTTGATTTCTACAGTAATTACAGGCTTGTTTTAATGAAGCAGAGCTCTCCAATAAACCAATGATATGTGTTGTAAGAGTGGAAGAAAACCAGTACAAGCCTGTGACGGACAGAACAGCCAAGCGTGTGACAGACAGTGGGTGTACAAACTAAATGTCAGGGAATGAGTGTTACATACAGCCTGGCTGAAATGGAAATAACAGACAGAGTGAGACAATGAAGGACGGGTGACCTAAAACATGACTTAATCTCCACTGAGGTCACAGAGATCCAGCTGGCAGCGCAGAAAGCATGAGGTTAACAGTCTGATCATCTGAAGCCAACAGCAAACACATTATTAGGATGAACACATACTGCGACATGTCTCATTACAGAAGGGTGGAGGACACACACACAAAAAAAACACACTCGGGACCGCGGTCAACAAAAACATGTTTTCTTGCTTCTTTCTAACAAAGAATGAAAAATCCTAGGGCTGGAAAGACATTTACAAAATAAATGCGGAATTGAGTTATAAGGTTAATGATGAATGAGTTTGCATTGAATGCTTAAGCCTCTTAATGTATTAAAAATCTGGATTTTCAAATAGCTTTTAAAAAATATTCGCAAAATAAGAGAAAAAAAATTATTGTAAGAGTTGAGTTCACCTCTTTTATGAAAAACTATGCAATTTTAATATATTTTACTTAAATATTCAAGATTAACATTGACTGAAATGCTTAATGATGGTTAATCTTTATTAATAGATCATATTCTTTAAGTTTTTTAATAAATTAATTAATTATACAAAGAAAATCTATCAGAGTTTACTCGGGAAATTTCTGAAAACTTTAAAAAAGTAAATAAAAACATTAAGAAAAGATTCTATTAACGATTACTTTTTTGTATTTTATTTTTTAAAAAATTTTTATTTAAATATGCTCACTATCTCTGCTGTTGTTCTCTGATGGACATTAATGTATATAATATCGTTAACATTTACTAAATAGTATATTTATATAAATACACAAATACATTATTTATTTATACACTAAAGACGCCTCTTATATGGAGAATGGAGTCACATGAATTGCTCAAGTGAGATTTTCACAGAGTGTAAAAATCTTAATGGTCCTGAGGGTCTCGTCGATCCAAACTAATCTTTATTTTGTATTTTCTATTGGATTCAATTTAGGTGACTGGCTAGGCCATTCTACAGCTTGATTTTCTGTCTCTGAAAGCATTTCTTTCGAGATTAACATTGACTGGAATGCTTAACGATGGTTAATCTGCATTAATAGATCATATTCGTTGAATTTTTAAATAAAATAATTAATTATACAAAGACAACCATATCAGAGTTTACTCAGAAAACATCTGAAAATTGTTTTTAAAAATAATAATAATAATAGAAAAATGAAAAACATTAAGAAAAGATTATAATATTACTGCATTTTTTAACAAAAACATTAATGTTTCTTAATCAGCAAATATCAGCATATAACAGAATTCTGAAGGATCATGATTTTTTAAGATCAGTAATGAATTCTGCACTGCAGGTTAGCACTTTTTTAAATTTTGTTGCGTTAGGAAATCTTGTTAATAATATCATTCACAATCTAAATAAAAAATAATTACAAAGAGGGTGACACTGTGGCGCAGTAGGTAGTGCTGTCGCCTCACAGCAAGAAGGTTGCTGGGTCGAGCCTCGGCTGGGTCAGCTGGCGTTTCTGTGTGGAGTTTGCATGTTCTCCCTGCGTTCGCGTGGGTTTCCTCCGGGTGCTCCGGTTTCCCCCACAGTCCAAAGACATGCATTACAGGTGAATTGGGTAGGCTAAATTGTCCGTAGAGTATGAGTGTGAATGAGTGTGTCCCAGAGATGGCTAGCGGTTGAAGGGTGTCCGCCGTGTAAAAATGTGCTGGATAAGTTGGCGGTTCATTCCGTTGTGGCGACCCCGAATCAATAAGTGGACTAAGCCGAAAAGAAAATTAATGAATTTCAAAGAGAAGCGTTCTGAATTCATAAATTAAAATCACTTACACCAAGAGGAATTGGATCTCCCTGTGTTTCTCTAATGTTTAATCCTTTATCTACAACATTGTGAAACATGGATTTTGAGTGTATAATAAAAAAACAATAATATGAAAATGTATTTTACCATGGTTTTAGTATGAATTAGCATGTTGCTAGCATGTTTTAGCATAAATTAGCATGTTGTTAGCTTGGTTCCAGTATAAATTAGCATGTCGCTAGCATGTTTCCAGTTTAAACTAGCATGTTGTTAGCATGAAATTAGTATGAATTAGCATGTTGCTAGTATGATTAGTATGTTTGTTAGCATGACTTGGTATGTCGTTAGTATGTTTCTAGTATGATTAGTATGTTAGTATGTTTGTTAGTATGTTTCCAGTATGTTTGTTAGTATGGATTAGTATATTGTTAATATGTCCAATGTAAAGTCAATGGCAATTTTTTACAAAAGAGGTCTATGGGACAATTGCTAATGTGCCATAAGTGGTTGCTAGGATGTGGCTAGTAAGTTGAAAGGTCATCAGTTGTTGGCAGTTTGGTAGTCTGAGGAAAATGAGCATAACCATAAGTATGTGTGACAGTCTGGTGCAAAGTTATGAGGTCATAAAATTTGGTCCAATGTTACGTCAATGGGACTTTTCATAATTTTCTGGGTCAGTTTTCTGAAAATCGTAAGTTTGATCAGTTGGAAAACAAATAGCAACCCGAGTCAGAGTAGTTTGGAGTTTTGGTGTTAGTTTGGTGGTTGTAGTATGAACGGTCTAGAAGGAGATGCATATAGAAATTAGAAGAAGAAGAAGACGGAAGAAGAACAATTTTATGTAGTATAACAGTATGTTGGATTTCTCAAGTCACCAAAATAAGAAACTTTTTAGTTAACCAAAAACATTCAATAGTACTGTATGTATCAAAGGGTTACATTTCAGGGTCAGACAATATAATTATATATATATATATATACAAAAAAACAGCATTTTGGACAATTCTGTATATAGTTAATGGTCTTTGCTGTGATGGATGAGAAAATTTTTGTAATGTCTGAAGTGAGACTTTTCAGCTTTTGCCAACATATATACATTATATGCAACAGCAAATGTTTATTCATTTAGCCAGAGCGTTGCGATCAAGAAAGCACATTCACTTGAAATCTTTTTTTCCCTTTGACAGTTTTTCACGCTTGTCAGAGGGCACCAGCTTTAGAGCTATTAAAATTAGCTGGTATTTTGTTTAAATGTCAGGTCTGTCAGGTCTTTTTTTTTACATGGAGATGGCTGGCATTGCATCTGTTAGAAAAGCGGCGCAAGCTTTAATTGGAGGATTTATTCCCATCTGGTTGCTTGTTGCATATTAATCTGTCAATTTAAATGAAATATTCTGTAATGTTCATAACAGATTTCTAGAGAAAGAATGACAGAATGAGTGAAGGTTTAATGTCTGATGAGTGTTTTACCTGTCTGTGTCCAGTGCTACAAGCGGCTTCTCATCTGGACTCTGGTCTAAGGATGAATAGCCTTTATTAGGGACAACCAACCTGGAATAGGAGTAGAAGAAAATCAGTAAAATTTTGATTTATATTTACATATGTTCATTATCTCTGCTGTTGTTCTCTGATGGACGGTAATGTATCCGGGTTTCTGCAGGTTTCACCAAATCAAGTTTAAGACTTTTAAAGACCCTTTCAAATCCAATATGAAAGAGATTTTAGACTTATACGAGGCTAAACACTAAGGGTTACTAATTTTTTGTAATGGCCTGGTTGGACCAATGGAATTCGAAAAAACAAATGTAGTAATTTCCTAACCACATATTTTAATGTGTGAAAACAAGAAAACGTTAGTTGTATAGACTTTTTTGAACATAATGTTTCTTTTTTTATAACAAGTTTAACATTGTTAAAAAAACATTATTTTATTATGAAGAAAACTACAGAAATAATAAAACATTTGTTGGCTTTTGCTCCAAATGAATTCAGAATAACTCCTAATTGTTTTAATTTAATAATAAAAAAACGCTGTTGTGAAATAAACATCTCTTTGCAATATAAACGTATACATAGATAGATTAGATAGATCTATATTAGATATATTAGATAGATTGTTATTGATTGAATGGATGTCGGCCCAATTGGGAAACTTTACTTCAACAACTTTTAAAATTAAGTACTGTTAAAAATGATTTAAGACCTACAACACAATTTTCTGTGAATTTAAGACTTTTAAAGGCCTAAAAATTATTTTTCTAAATTTAAGACATTTTAAGACACCCTGTGTATATAATATTCTTAATATTTACTATTAATAAATAACACGTGCATAAGTACACTGTCTTTGATTTTTTTTTTTCATTCTATTTCTTTGTGAATATAGACAAGCTATTTTAAAATAATGTGGTCACCCAACATCTTGAGGAATTGAAAGGTAACAAGTTTAAATTCAAATTAATAAATTGTTATTATTCAAATTATTAAATTAATAAAGAGTAGCAAAAAAAATTGCAAACCACAAAAATGTTACTAAATTTTTTTGAGATTGTTTTTATTTTCTTGATTTGTCCGTATTAAAACTTTATTTAATATTTTTTACCTAAATAAAACCTAGCCAAAATAAAACAAATAAGACTTTCTCCAGAAGTGAAAAACGTATGAAATACAGAGAAAATTCCTTAATCTGTTAAACATAATTTAGGAAATATTTGAAAAAGAAAAGAAAATTCACAGGAGGTCTAATAATGTTGTGTATTTATTATATATTTTATATTTTATAATTTATTATTTATTATAATATTTATTTTCACATTTATATATAAACTTGTATATATAAACTACTATTAAATTAATTTAGTATTAAATGTAATTTTAACATTTCCCAAACCATTAAGCACTAGGTCTACGCTGGCAAGTGAAATGAATGAAATAAGATGCATGGTTGAATTTGACATCGGCCAGTCTTACAGCCAGACATCTTTTGTTCTTCCAGAGGGACAAAAGCTCAAGTTAATCTCTGGCCCTCAGGCTTTTCCAGTAAGCAGGCCTGTGTGCAGCTAATCTTCAGGCCTAAAGCTGGGCCCTGAAGCAGGCCTGCGGACAAGTCCTCGCATTTCTGCTAATCCTAAAAGGGCACCAGGGACCGAAGAGATGGCAGAAGACCTCAGAAGGACAGCAATAACACTAATTAACATTCACAGACTCTACAGCCTTCATTTAAAACTGCTGTTCATGAGATTAGATGTGGTTCATACAACTGGCACAAAGCACAGCTGCTAGAATTTTGACTAGGACCAATAGAAGGGAGCACATTACACTTATCTATCCGAACTATTTGTAGTCAGATAGACGGACGGAAAGACGGACAGACGAACGGAAGGAAGAAAGAAAGAAAGAAAGAAAGGAAGGAAGGAAGGAAGGAAGGAAGGAAGGAAGGAAGGAAGAAAGAAAGAAAGAAAGAAAGAAAGAAAGAAAGAAAGAAAGAAAGAAAGCAAGAAAGAAAGAAAGAAAGAAAGAAAGAAAGAAAGAAAGAAAGAAAGAAAGAAAGCAGTCTCACCTTGTTCTGGCCATAACATTATTTTTCTTGGGTTGCTGATTGACTGGACTACCCACAGTTCCATTCTTCACTGAGCCCTTCCTCGCAAGCTCTCGCTGTTTCTCTACAAAAATAAGAAATAAATAAATTTATACATAGGGGTTCCATTTAAAAATTAATGTCTCTCTGGATAAAATGAATGGCGCTTTTAGCTGTGATACCATCTATTGACTTGATAGAATGTCGATCATTCAAATGCAAGCAAATGCGATGGCTGCATCATTATAATATTTGAATACAGAATTGTGATTCATCCTTATTCTTCTGAGCATTTGCATACTGATTTCTTTCTAGCAGACGTCTGCAGTTGCAGTTACACTGGCTGTGTTCTTTGGATGTCAAATAAATACAATGTAAAAAAACACCAAAAAAATGTTGAGTAATAAACATTGAGTGTATAGTCTTATTAAAGCCAGACACAAAAAGTATAAAACTAATAGTAACCAATACATATTTATTTATATTAAGAATTGCAAACATGTTGTATATTAAAATTTTTCTAAAATTTTAAATGCTACTTTGCATACATTTCTACAAAAAAAATCTGAAAATGTCAGGTTCAAAAATAATCAGTTTTTGAAATATTAAAAGTTTTGACAGACAAGTTTTAATTTTAATTACTTTCGATGTGCTAAAACATTTTTAAATTATTTATTTTTTTAGATAAAAGCATACATACACACACGTTAAAACTGTAAAACAGAATAAAGTGTATAGGTCTAGATTGAAAATTGAAAGAAATCTATTATATATAACTTTATTATTTAATGCATAAAGTAGCCCATTTATAAAGTGTGTTAAATTGATCTGAAACTTTAAAATAATAATTATTTTTCTTATATATTTTTAAGAAATGCATCAGTAATGTGTGTTTTTGTCCATTTGTGAACGGAATGAAGAAAACGAAACTGAATACTAGCGTAAACAGGGCCTAAAATTTTATTTATTTATTTATTAACAATGAAATCGAAACTGTGAATCGATAAGAATCAAAATCAATGGGTATGGAAACCGATGACATTCTAACAACCCTAACAGCAGCACGTGTAAGTGAAAGGTATAGTGTGCATTGCATTTGTTTTTGTTTTGCTCCTTATTTACACAAATACTGCAAACAGCAAGAAAAACTGTGATGATTTGTACAAAATGATCATGTACATAATCAGGCACATTTTGTACGATCAAATTCCTCAGTAATAAACCTCAAAATATATAGATATGGATAAAACTGTGAAGTTTGGTGTACGTAAGTGCTGCTGAAATAAGTGGCTCAGTCCAAAGACATGCATTATAGGTGAATTGAATAAACTAAATTGACTGTAGTGTATGTGTGTGAATGATTGTGTATGGTTGCAGCTGGAAGGGCATCCGCTGTGTACAACATATGCTGGATAAGTTGGCGGTTCACTCCCCTGTGGTGACTCCTGAAGAATAAAGGAACTAAGCCGAAGGAAAATAAATGAATGAATGAAAAAACATAAAATCTCAAAATTGACAAGTCCATAAAATTTTTATTTTTGCCTGGAGTGTCTCTTAATATTCTCCACTGTGTGTGGTTCTCTGGCTGAAAAGTGTTTTTTCATGCGTGAAGTCTGAGCTTGACTCCTGCATGACTTCCATACACTGGCCTGTGTGCATGTGAGAGAGAGATTTCTCTGCGGTGTTATAAGTAATAAGGCTGTCAAAGAGAGGACTGTAAAGTGAAGTTTAATTAACAACAGCGACTGCTGTGTTTCAGGATGCCCTCGACATCTCTAAACAGAGTGTGGTGTAAGATACAGACGCAGGGCAGCAGAGAGAATGAAGAGAGGACAAAACGATAAGCAATGTTGTTTTTCTCCATTCTGCTGTTTCCTGAGGGAAATTAGACTATTAATCGTTTTTTAACAACCAGCTGAATGTTTATTAGTTATTCAAGCACTGAAGGGTTTTAGAGGGGAAACAAACAGGGGTTCAAACTTCAGGAGATTACATGGATTTTTATCTTCGCCCAAAATCAATTTGTTTTGCTGTATTTTATTGTTTTGTTCATTTGTTAAACCATAATAACATTGGTATAATCTGTTTAATGTTATGCTTTATTGTTAATTAAAACTATTAAAATCGTTTTCAGTAATTGAATGAAGCAGACAAATAAAGAGAAATATTACAGGAAAAACAAAAAAATCTACAACAAAATTGTTGTAATCATTATTAAAAGTGTTAAAATCATTATTAAAATTAAAATAAATTGAAACTAAATATGTAATAACATGTATGTACTAAAAATGGAATATTAACTAAATACTTTACTTAATAATACTTTGAAATAATACTTAAATATATTCAAGTATTAATTAATAAAAGTAGTAACTAAAAAATATATTAATATTATTTTTTAAAAATATTAATATTATAACAGTACATAAATAGGCTGTTTTTTTTTTCAAATAAGAGAATGCAGTTAATAACTCAAAATGTCCTTCTAATAATAGATAAATAAATATACTACAATAATAATTGTGTAATAAATTATTACAATAATGATTAACTTATAACCACTGACACAAATATTATTCTTCAATTAAAATAATTTATATATATATATATATATATATATATATATATATATATATATATATATATATATATATATATATATATATATATATATATATATATATTTCAAAACGTTTTTCATTTTTAAATATTTCCCAAATGGTGTTTAACAGAGCAGGGAAATTTTCAAAGTCATTCATTCATTCATTTTCTTTTCGGCTTAGTCCCTTTATTAATGCAGGGTCGCCACAGCGGAATGAACCGCCAACTTATCCAGCACGTTTTATGCAGCTGTAGCCCTTACAGCCGCAACCCAACACTGGGAAACATCCACATACACTCATTCACTACGTACAATTTAGCCTACCCAATTCACCTGTACCACATGTCTTTGGACTGTGGGGGAAATCGGAGCACCCGGAGGAAACCCACGCAAATGCAGGGAAAACATGAAAACTCTACACAGAAACGCCTACTGACCCAGCCAAGGCTCGAAGCAGGGACCTTCTTGGTGTAAGGCGACAGCACTACCTACTGCGCCACTGCGTCAACAATTTTCACAGTATGTCTGATGATATTTTTTCTTCTGGAGAAAGTCTTTTTTGTTTTATTTCAGCTAGAATAAAAGCAGTTTTAAATTTTTTTTAAAACCATTTTAAGGTCAAAATTATTATCCCCTTTAAGCTATTTTTTTTTTCAATAGCCTACAGAACAAACCATCCTTATACAAGAACTTGCCTAACTACCTTATCCTGCCTACTTATTCTGACTTCAACTGTATATTCCAACAGATGGATTACTATTAAGGTTTTTTTTTTTATCTGACCAATTACGGATGATTTTTTTTTTTCAAAATTTTAATTGTTTAATAATTTAACAGTACTATCAATTTACACATTTATACATCCTTTTAACAGCCCCTTTCCCCTGCCCTCCCCAACAGCATCAGTAACATTATTTAGATGCTACTATCATTAACTCAGTAAATACATAAATAAATATAAACAATACATAAAAATCAGTAATAATACGTAAATAAATAAAATAATTACACTTTTAGCGTTCGTCTCACCCCAGTGACCTTATTCATCCTCCAGAAATGCCAATTAATCTACTCTGATAAACATCCATTTTATCAAATAATCTATATGTCATTTTTTCATATGCTGCCACCTTTCCCAATTCCATAACCCATTCTTGAAATGATGGTGGACCAGCTAAATGCTATCCCCTCATAATGATCTGTCTTCCAATCATAATACTTATTTAAACCCACTGAGGAATGGTTTTATAAATTACTTTTGTCCTTTTGCTTTAGACTTAAATCCCCTCAGCCCTAAAAACTCCACAACTGCATTCAAAAATCCCATAGTTCCATTTTCTGAGAGAACCATTAAGACCAAAAGACTCATTTAAATTCTTCTTATCGAAAACTACGGCCATCTATTTTACACAGCCTGAACCTGTTAATCGCTTCTGAGCTTCCAAACCCGATTATGCTTCACAATCACAGTATCAGTGGGAAAATCAATACAGCCTTCTTTTTTAACACTCAAATGGACATATTTCACTAATGACGACATGGCACATTAGCCCGATTACTGGCTGAACGGGAAAGTGCTTTACCTATCTTGACTTGTAGTGGGGAAGGCTTGTAGTTGATGGCGACCGACTCTGGTTCTCTCGGAGCCGTTTCATTCTCGATAGTGGACGTCTCTGCAGGGTCCTGCTGACAAAAAACACATTCATAGTTATCAGCCATATAGACTCTAAATTCCAGAGCTGCACAATATATTGTTTGAGCTTCAATAATCCTCAATATAGCCATACCGCAGGATCTGCAATGTCAAGTTAGGATTATAATTAACCAGCAACCACAGTACAGTTCAGAACGTGCTTTGTAGAGTCAAGTTTAACCCTAATATAATAGTGTGAAAGATTTTTATGTATTGTATTGATATTATATGCATTATTTAATGTCAGTTTCTTCATGGCAAATACAAGCAAAATAATATAAATATAGTCCATATATTCAAAGAAACAAACAGACAGCAAAAATCTGATTGGTAAACAACAGCATCTGGTGAGGAAGGGCTTTTATCAAGCGTTGTTGATTCTACTGGGGCTGGGTGAAATAACAGGAGTCAGCACAATGTCTCCACGCTGTCGCTGGAACTGGTCATTTTAATACATCTCTTTCATCTGCGTCTGAGGTTTGCTTTCACAGCTGTGCTCCAGCGAACTTATTGATTCTCAGTTCAGAGATAGATGTAGAGCCTACGCAGCAGAAAACTCCTGGCATACTGTAAAACAGCACAGATTAATCTATTCTACATGAGTAAACACATAAATAAAGCTGGCTTGCAATGAACAAGAATGATTCATTCAAATTATGTTAAATGTACATATATAGGGCTGGGCGATATGCAGTGATGGGAATTACGGCAATATAAGTAAGCAGCTATGGAAACTGCTGTCATTACAACAATTACCTCAATTTTATTATTGTTCGATTAAATCAATTTAGAATTTGAACATGATTTTGTGAGGCGGCACGGTGGCTAAGTGGTTAGCACTATTGCCTCACAGCAAGAAGGTCGTTGGTTCCCCCACAGTCCAAAGACATGCGCTACAGTAAATTGGGCAAGCAAAATTGGCCGTAGTGTATGAGTATGTGTGTAAATGCAAGAGTGTGTTTCCCAGTACTAAGGTGTGGCTGGAAGGGCATCCACTGTGTAAAACATATGCTGGTATAGTTGGCGGTTCATTACGCTGTGGTGACCCCTGATTAAGCCAAAGGAAAATGAATGAATGAATATGATTTTGTTAAGCTGTCAATGAACAAGAATGATGTATTCAAATTATGTTAAATGTACATATATAGGGCTGGGCGATATGCAGTGATGGGAATTACGGCAATATAAGTAAGCAGCGTTACAAACGGTGATACTTTTTTCAGTAATCAAATGAATTACTGTTTCCCAGTTACAACGCCATTACCGTTACTTTGAAAAATGAAAACACTTCATCAAGCAGCATCTCTCTCAGCCATAGGACCTCTATTTCACTGGGGTGGGAGAGTGAGTGTGTGTGTGTGTGTTCGGGCAGGGGCGGGTCATATAACCAACTAGTGATGATGATTGTCTGTGAACGTAGTGATTGGTTAAGAGTACATTTCCATTGTTAGTCAATTAGAGGCAGAGTAGGGCGGATGTCCACATAAGCACACACACATTCAGTGATACACAACATTGACGTTTGAAAACTGGAAATATAAGCACTACTTTTCCCTCATTGAGGTAAAAGGCAAGATTGTTTATGTATCGCACAAACTTATGCCCAGAAAAAAAAAAAAGTCTTTCTGCGTCGATGACAAGTAATTTTAATCTAATGAAGCACCTCACATCGTCACGTCCCCACAAAAAGAGTGCAGGTGATAACGCGAGAACCAAAGGAGGAGGCGAAGCCACGACATCAAAGCAAACACTTATTACCCAAATAGAATTAAACAAAATAATATCTAGATATATTGTTGAGGATATGCTGCCACTCTCACATTATTCCACAACAACATTAAAACAGTTTAGCTTAGTGTAAAATTTTTATATTTATTTCATAATTTGTCATTTTTCTTTAAGTAAAGCAATAGTTACTTTCCTTGGTAATTAGTTACTTTTATAATTATGTAACTTAGTTACTTACTCAGTTATATTTGTAAGAGGTACCTAATAATAACTATAACTAATTACTCTTTTAAAGGAATATTCCCAACACAGGTGATATGACAAAAATGTCATATCACAATATAAGTCATCTCATATCCTAATAATCATATATCATGATATAGTTCCATTTCTGTAAATTCTAACAATTAAAAATATGATGAATCTTATTATATTTATTTATTTATGTTATTATTATATCAGCAATCAAATCAATATTAAATGGTAAAAATAATAATTACTATTATTTTTATCAATTAAATAGCAAACAAATAAATAAATTTAACCAAAATATATTTATGTTTTATTTAAAAAAAAAAAAAAGCTTAAATAGTAACCTAAAAGTCATATAATATCAACTTAATGTGTAAAAATTCACAATTATTCTATTGATGAAGCACAGTTATAGCATCTACTAAACCAGGGGTTACAAAACTTGGTCCTAGAGATTTTAGCTCCAACTTGCCTTGCACACCTGCAAGGATGTTTCTAGAAAGCCTAGTAAGAGCCTGATTAGCTAGCCCATGTGTGTTCGATTGGGGTTGAAGCTATAATCTGCAGGACACCAGACGTCCAGGACTGAGATTGAGAGACCCTGTACTAAACCATACTCTAGTAAAATTACAAATACTAAAGTAAAGTTCAGTAAAATATGCATAACAGGCAATGCTTCATTCACAACAGTCAGACAAGCAGGGTATTGTACATTATTAAATTTACAGCTGTTCATTACAACTAAAAGTCTGAGCAAATGCACAGTCTCTGTTCTCCACAGCTGCTCGGTGGGGAGACAGATAAAAGAAGAGAGATTCTGCTGTCACGGTAACCGAACGGTACTTCCTGCATTATGGCAGTCTCACATGACACCAGGCATGTTTTTGTAGCCGGAGTCTTCATACGCAGAGTCTGAGGGCTCTGTGACATCACTCAGGACTGGCAGAGACAGAACAGAGGGAGCTTGTTGGGAAGAAATGTTGACAGCACACACAAGCTGCCTCTGCCAACAGAGAGCCTATTATGACCTAAAAAAAAAGCCTGCCTTCACTGAAGGCAGCCCATGTGGCTACTTGAGACTCTTTGGGCTATCATCGTGAGCCACTAGAGCCATGCGATTATAACTATGTTACATTTCTGGTGCAGTTCTCATGACACATCAGATGACTAACCTACAAAACTGCAGTCAACAGGCAGTCTGGGCTGTAGATACGGAATGTTATACAAATTCGGAAAAGGCTGGATTGTGAAACACTCCCTAATAAAAGGGTTTTCATACTTGTAAAGTACCCATGAAATTAAAATAATGGATTTTAGATGTTAGCATCAAAGGCCTGACACTACTTGGAGGAGCAAAAGTGGCATTGTCACCTCATTTCATAAAGGATTAGTCTACTCAAGGTTCACCCAAAAGTGATTTTTTTTTCTGTCATTAATTACTAGCACTCATGCCGTCCAATCTTCAAAACACAAATTTATATATTTCATAATATGAAACGAAATTAAATTATGAAAATTGTGAAATTATAAAAGCAATATTCCAGAGATACGGTCGCCGTATCAGGTCATGATGTGCATTCTAGGATGGGAGAGAAAGGAACTAGTGGATGATATAAAGGCAAGTAGGTTTATTCATTTCATGTTTTGGTTAACCAATTCTTTAAAAACAACTATCTTAAGCTCTAAAGGGAAAAAAACGGAAAAATAATTTGCCGTTAAATTAATTTTAGCAGAGACAGAAACTGCCAGACATTTTTACATTAGTTTTTTTTTAATTAGAGGTTAATATTTTTAGCCTAGCCTAATGAAGATGTTTAGTTGGACACCACACAGTACACACTATTTTAATATTAATTATTAATATTTTAATTTATTGCATTATTATTAACATTATTATTATTCAAATTAAGCTTGAAAAAATGCAGAACCCTTTTTCTGTTTTCATTGCTATAAGCATACTTTTGCAAGGTGTGAAAAGTGGCATTCCATTATGCGCCAGCATCAGTCTCAAGTTTAAAAATTTTAAAAAGATGATCGGCTTGCAAAGTCAAGTTTACAGTGTTATAAATTAAATATGTAGTGCGTGAGAAGGCTAAGTGGATTTGCTCCAAATCAACCTCTCACATGAGCTGCAGGTAGGCTGAATGATATTTTTTTCAAAATTTTGTAATTCAGGCTATACTGCTATTTGCTAATGCAAAATGAAACAGCAGAAAATGTATTGTAGGTCTATTTTAATGGGTAAAATACAATCGCCTACATGGCGATTTTACAAAACAATTTTATTTTAACTAATGTAAGCTCATGGCCCTAAAAAGGAAAATGTAACCTGCAAACAAAATTTAGGCTGAATAAATAAAATGATGGGTAATAGCCTAATAGTTTATAGTGCTGTTTTTACTACTGCCAACCGAATTTCACGGGGAAAAAAAACACTTATGATAGCCTAATATTTTTTTGTTCTGTTTTAATATTATAATAAAAGTAATATAGCATATTGAGTTGTGTGTTATCCATGGCAAATTTTACATTTAAATATTTAAAAAAATAAAAATTGTAAAGTGTGGTCTAGCGCCCCCCTACGGGAATAAAATACCCCTCAGTTATGCCATCCTGGCACCAGGCCTGTAGCATCAGTATGTTAGTCTTAGGATATCTATAAGCTAGTGTGCTCCAAAACAGTGACAAAATTAGCATTTATAAGATATAAACATCCAAAGTTTGCAGGCGTGCCTTTGGCCTAAATGGATAATTTTTGCAACATCCCCTTAAACTTCCGTTTCTCATCAAATCCTCTGACCAATCAAATGTTCTCTAGTATCTGACATGCCCCGCCCCCTTTAAGATGCTTCTTGTTGTTCTTCATTTGATGCACTTGATCTCAACCCCTCTCACTGGCAGAGCTGTGATAAAAACAAAACCCTGAAAATAACAATAATTTCCCTTTTTCCTATTTCAATTGCATTTCTCAGAAAGAGCTGGGCATTCAAAATTAAATCACAAATGCGAT